GGGCGGGGGCGGTTTGGGAGGAAACGAGAAAAATAGAGGGACTGTAATAACATCACTACAGCTCGCGTCCAGGAGGCGTGACAGGAATTTCACGCCTTTTACCATTCATTCATTAAGAAACTCCGCTGGTGATAAAAAACATGCCACACAAATTTAGCATCGATTACGCGTGTTTACGAATATCTCCTTGCGAAACAGTGATTTTATAATGTTTCTGGGCCATTCCTCGAAATAAAATCGGCAAACATGCACAAGAAAACATTTTCCTAATCAAAATACCATGAATCCTTCGTGTGTTTGCGCAAGATGTGCCTCATGGTATGAAAGCGTACTTTTTATGGAAACGTCGACTTGTCAACGACTTGTCGATGTCGGCAACTTAGATTAAACCTGTTGTCAGTTGTCAACGCAAATTAACATCTATTGTCTAATGACCAATCAAACGCCTGCGTTGCTGGTACAACGCGCTCCGTGAACGCGAGCTGCGGTGATGTTATTACAGTCCCTCTATTTTTCTTCCCCCCCCCCCAGACCGAGGGGACGGGTGTCGGGGATTATAGCTACATTTGAAAATCAAGTTACCAGTGACGGTAAGACGCGGTATATCTAAACGATCTCACGAAAAAACAGGGGACTGTGAACAGTCTATTTCCATGAGTGTTCTTGGTGGCGTCGTTGTAGTTTCAAGTGCCTATGGCCTGTACAGATGTTATGTTCACCAAAAAGAACAGCCACAAGATCAGACATCTCTCCGCGATGAAACTGCGAGCGAAATTTCCGCGAAAAAGGTGCTTGTGTTAGGAGTAGAAGGCAGTGGGAAAAAGCACTTTCCTCGCTGCGTTGGCACATCATGACAGTCCAATAACTTCCGCAGAACGCGAAGGCACAACTCCTACCGAAGGTTTTCATGTTGTTTGCGTTTCAACCGAGGGAGTCAGCCTGAATGTTTGGGAGAGTAAGTACCATAATATTCCTGATTATATAGGAGCTAAGCTGAAAACTATGAGGTCGTATGTACAAAAAAGCCCTGTTTACTGGTGAAATGCAAGCATAAGCACCTTGCATAGTGTGCTTGTGCTCTGTATGCTTGCATTGGGTTATTGCAATAAATATTCGTAAGAATCCTCATTTCTTGCGCAAAGTTTATCGAATTTACAAACTTTCGAAAAAAACAAAAAAAACAAAAATGAACTGGAGGAGCATTGGCCTGCTTTGAAACCTGTAGTGAGCTCTTAGTAATCTTTGTTTAGAAAATTTCTAATTTTTATCATTTGTTTGAAATATCTGTGAGTCTTTTTTGTTGTCGTTTTAATAGTCAGTAAAGTGTGACAACAAGGCAGCCATTTTGTCAGTGATACTGGTTGTATTATCATTTAACCTAAGGTTAGTTATTTAACCTACCTAGCTAGCAGGGTTAAATTTAACCAAGGTTTGAGCTAACCGGTGTTTGAACAACACAACAATCCTGCGATTAAAATGTAACAAATAAAGCCTCACCTCAAAGAATTTCTTTTTTTTTTACTCTACCCCACCAGAAATCCTCAATTTTTACTCGTGGATTGTCCACAAGTATTGTTGGGAATCTGTATGCAAATTTGTCACTCATTCGTAACCGGAAGTTCGATCTAATTAGCTAATCAGGATGGATAGTATTTCAAGTGAATCACAACACAGCTTCCGCTTAGAAAGCTGTGACACGCATGGTTTGTTTAACTTTTTTCACAACACGACTCCCAATCTCATGGTTTTTAGGGAAATATCATTCTGAAATGAAATGTTTCTTTGGTTGAACAAAAAAGGAAATGTTTACTGCGATGTTGCTGAATCGTAATTGATTCTCCTCAAGTCAACACGGAGAATTGCAAGCTGTACAACGCCGTCAGCAAGAGACTTTGCAACAGTTTAGTGAGACACTTAATATCCCTTTGTCAGACATATGTTGTTCAAATGCAACGAGATGAGTTAAGGTACAGCTTTTACCATTAAAATATATCTTTCAATTCTTCTTAAATAAGGCGCTACCAGCTTCAAACACGGTCCACTGGCAGAATTTCATGAGCAATAGTGATATAGATAATTAATTCAACGATTTGTTTAACATTATGTATCGGTCAAATCGAAGCTTCAACATGCCCCCCCCGGGCAAACCTCCGGGCATTTGACTTTTTTGAAAATTATTGTTCAAATTCCCCCCTGCCCGGGCCAAAATGCCGTTCAAATGCCCCACACTAGGGTCCATTCAGGTGATCAAACGCCCCCACCCTGGGGACATTTCACAGGCACAAAAATGACAGAAGGACAGCGGAAACGCCTTCAGTTGTCGAACAACATCTTTATAAATATAACAAAAACTGACCAACACTGTTAGCGTATTTACTACGAACAAAAGTCTCGTGCAAAGCGGCGGAAATCGCTGCTACAAGGTCACAGAATGCTCAGCTTTTCTTCGTCATGCAACATACAAAGCGTTCTATAAAAAAAGATCCCACCTATTGAGATTACTACATCATGACCATTTCACTGACATGCCTTATCGCTCACCTTATTAATTAACATACTTGCAGTAGGTCAAAGTAGTTGACCGTTTTATTTTATTTTATTTGATGTTTTTGTATTGAATTCAAAGCCTGAATCCAATATTAAAAATTTTAAAATTTAAATACTTCGAATACGGCACAAAGCTTGTTTAAGCCCTTTCCTCGTAACCAATTGGCCACAAAGGCACAATCTTTTCCACGAAGATCCTCTAACACCGCGTCCCCCATGATAGCTCGCCACACCAAAGATTTTACATGAAATCGAGGGTGTAGTTCAAATTCCCCACCCCTAAAGCACGGGGATCAAATTCCCCACCCCCTGGAAGGCCCTGGTAATCAAATTCCCTCCTCCCCGGGACGGCAAAAGTGTCAAATGCCCGGGGTATGCCCGGGGGGGGCATGTTGAAGCTTCGATTTGACCGATACATTAGTTGTTGTGGCACAATAGATAACAGGTAGACCTTACACATTGAAGGTCCGGGGTTCGACTCCCACCATAGGAAACGTTTTTTTTTACTGTTTTTTGGTCCTTTTGTTTTATTTTTTCTAACAACATATTTTCATTTTTTGACAGACTTAAAAATTAAATATACCAGTAGACTAATTGCAAGGTCATTATCAGCTTTCATTTCTACGATAATTAATCCACAAGTAGCCATAGGCAACCTCTGATTTTTAAATGCAATAGCCCCATTAAAGTTAGCCTGATTCTCAGACGTCCGAGGTCGTTCGCGGTCCCTTTCGCTTCCCTCCCTGGGTCGCGAACGACCTCGGACGTCTGAGAATCAGCCTACATTAAAGTGTGTAATGCAATTACACAAGCATGTTTTTTAAGTGACAAGGTTCCATGGGTGAGGTGTGAATGTGTTTACAACACAGTAAAGTCTTAAATCGATAAGCTGCTTTGAGAAGTTTGGGATTAATATTCTTTTTCTTTTTTTCTTCCAGTTGGAGGAAAATTTCAGTCTTACTGGCCTAATTTTGTCAATGATACCAGTGCTATTGTTTATGCCATTGATAGTAGTGATCCTGCACTATTTGACAAATCAAAGCATGCCTTGTTAGAGATCTTATCAGATGTGAAACTCAAGGGAGTGCCTCTGGTTCTACTTATTTGCAAGCAAGATCTTAAAGAAGCAAAATCAAAGGAGAAGTCTGTGGCCTACAAGAAGCCAAGCATCTGATCTTAAACTTTTGTAAAAAATAATTTTTATTTATTAAAAGTAGATTTTGTATCTTTTTTTTTTTTCATTTTTCTGTATTATTTTCAGTCACAACATTTTTATTTTTTCATCAAATGTTAATTTCATTTAAACCAACCTAACAACAACATGTTACAAAGACAAGGAAGCATTTTATAATATGTTAACAACAATATACCTTAATTTGTTTGATACCTGAAAGAGGGCTTAAGGTACCTTATGACTTTGTAAGTAAGCAGTTTGAATGTTTTATAAGAAAAAAATGTATAATGATATTTTCTTAAGTAATTCGGACCTGACAAATGTTTCACATGCATTGGGTGTGCATGTACATAAGAAGGATTTAACAGGAATCTGGCAAAAAAGGAACAAATGTTTATGTAAATCTTTGTTTATAGTGCAGTTGCTCTGTGATCTTAAGGGCACACGTCACCACCCAAATAAATATGTAGTCACAAGGAAATTATGGTAAACAACCAGCCAGTTACTTACAGGCATTTCGGAGGAGATAAACTAAGGACTGCCAAGAAAGAGCTCAGGGGAGTGGTCAAAGCAGGACTCATCCGAAGATCCACATTCTAAGGCTTACATTTAACATTCTACACCCCTAGTATTAAATTGGTGACTGGTCGTTTCGCCTACATCCTGTTCACTTACGTCTTAGTCATTTTGCTTATGTGTGCTAGTTCGTTTAGCTAACGTGTTATAAGTCATCTTGCAAATGTTTTATGAGTCGTTTTGCTAACATGAGAACAAAATTTCCTTACAGCTGAGCTACCACTAACACGCAGAGCAATGGTTTTTCAGGCGCTACTCTCATCATTTCTTACATTAATATTTTTGGAAAGACCACAGCGGTTCAAATTTTGCTATTAGGTTATACTGGCTGTCCACTTCTTAAGTGTAAAAGTCAATATTTACACTAACTTTTTCAACGAAAGTAAAAATAAATAAGCGAAATGACCCAACACGTGAGCAAAAATGACTTAAGATATAAGCGAACAGCGTGCAGGCGAAACGACCGTAAACTCCATTACAGGTTAAAATTTGTTAGCCCAGGAGGAGTATAATAATTCATGATCTACAATAGGGCAACAACAACAAACAAAAAAGCAAACAAGGAATATTCAGTTTGAAGGTACATGTACTGCCATCTTAACAAAGCACAAGAAGCTGGTCACAAAACTAACAAAGCAAACCATCTCAAGCACGCCTTTTTTGAAGCAGCTTGACTATTAAGACAATTTTCTTCACCATTTTTTTACAAGACTTTGTTATACTTTTCACGGAGTTCTCTCTTTTCAGCTTTGAAGAGACACTTAGTCAGATCCTCTGGCTGTCCTTCTCCAAACTGCTTTGCAAAAGAATAATCTAACAAATCAGCAAGCATCAATTTTGGACAACTCTGAGCCAGTTTCTCATCAGAATCTTGTCTGAATAATCTTGGATTGATTTCAATGTTATTTGATAACACAGGGGGAAAGACCTTGGCTGTATGCTGATCTAATTTAAAGCTGTAGCCGTCAGGGAGATCATACTTGTGTAGGACAACACACTTGTCTGGAATAGTATGTAGCAAAAAGCTTGGCAGTTCCAGCAGCATTTTCAAGGCTGATCGCTGAGCCATTCGCAGCTCTTCCATGATAAACTTAACACGATTCTCAAGATCGAACGTTCGCACTACTAGCAGTCTAGAACATGGATGCATCAAATGTACTTTCTCCTCTAAGCCGTCATTCTGGACACGAATAACTCCCCTGAGATAATATAGCCCCCCCCCTTTTTTGAGAATCTTCAGCGAGTACAAGAACCGGGGGAGATCTTTCCAAGAGCTTCCTTTTCTGTCGAGCTAATAACCCTGACGGCTTAAGGTACTCCAGCCTCTGAAGAACAAGTTCACTTCTCAGAAATAACACGTGCGGTTGAACGGCGGGTGACAACTCTAACAAAGGTTGTTTGGGCAGTCTTACGAATAACTTTCTGTCCTTTCCGGAAATTTCGTCGACCCTCCCGAATTTTTCGGTGGCATTCCCCATAAATGTTTAACTTCCCAAAATTGTTTTAACAATTAAAATTAAAATTGTGATTAGAGATTTTTTGCAGCTTCTTGTCAATTATGTAACTTGTTAATTATCTAACCTTAGTTTTTTTTCGTTTAGAAGGTATCATGTTAACAGAGAAAAGACTGTCAAACTTTTTAAGTATATAAAATCGTGTTTTTTTGTTTTTTAATCACCGATGAATCAGGCGAGCAGTGAAGGGGCCAACGACTAGGGGGGTATGGGGGAATGCTCCCCCAGAAAATTTTGAAATCTTGGTGCTCTGAAACGCCATTTCTGGTGTTCTGAGAGGACAACTTCTGTCCAAAATGTTCTCTAAATCAATTGTCCTTTTTATGCTTATTTTTATTGGCGTGACTTCGGGTAGAAGTAGTCAATTTTATTTCATACAAGTTGTACAGTTTTTGAAATTGCTCTGGATATCACTTTCAGCTAAGTATACTCTGTGTGGTGTCATTGTATGAGTATCATAAGAATTCATTTGAAAATTTCAGAACAACTGTCGAAATCTGAAATTTTCCTATCCCGAACGCATATCATATTCATCAGGATTCGGGATTTTCGAGCAAAATCGGAAGGACCCCGACGAAATCAGGATGATTAAAGAATCTTCACAGACATACTTCTTTTTATGGCCTCATTCGTTTAACAAGGTTAAATGAGTCTCGTTTTTTTCCTACATACTTCTTACATACTTCTTTCAAGTTTTCATGCAGTATGCAATCAGAGGAATGTCAGGGGCACCCAACGACAATTTTCGGAAAATATCTGTTCGGAAGACTATTTGAGATCTAGAATTTTCGGAACATTGGTTGTAAAACTTCTTGCTCGCCTGCCTCTCCTAGAATTTTCGAACATCTAAAAAATGGCATAATTGCCCATTTTTAACGGATTTTTGCCCGTTAAAAGGTCACCTAGAATTTTCGGGAGCCTTTTTCCTGGCTGAAACTTTCGAAAAGGTAAGTTTTGATCCCTATAATTTTCGGATGACTAGAATTTCAGCTAGGAAATCCGAAGAGAATAAAAATTTTTAGGGGATAAAAATATGCCTATATCTACCGTTTAAATACTAAAATACGTTTAACAATGCTAGTTTAAGTGGTTTTGAACTATATTCTCGTTGGGTGCCCCTGAAATGTGCTCTTAAAAGTCGTTAACGTGCAGCGTAAAAATACCCCTGNGAAATTGCTCTGGATATCACTTTCAGCTAAGTATACTCTGTGTGGTGTCATTGTATGAGTATCATAAGAATTCATTTGAAAATTTCAGAACAACTGTCGAAATCTGAAATTTTCCTATCCCGAACGCATATCATATTCATCAGGATTCGGGATTTTCGAGCAAAATCGGAAGGACCCCGACGAAATCAGGATGATTAAAGAATCTTCACAGACATACTTCTTTTTATGGCCTCATTCGTTTAACAAGGTTAAATGAGTCTCGTTTTTTTCCTACATACTTCTTACATACTTCTTTCAAGTTTTCATGCAGTATGCAATCAGAGGAATGTCAGGGGCACCCAACGACAATTTTCGGAAAATATCTGTTCGGAAGACTATTTGAGATCTAGAATTTTCGGAACATTGGTTGTAAAACTTCTTGCTCGCCTGCCTCTCCTAGAATTTTCGAACATCTAAAAAATGGCATAATTGCCCATTTTTAACGGATTTTTGCCCGTTAAAAGGTCACCTAGAATTTTCGGGAGCCTTTTTCCTGGCTGAAACTTTCGAAAAGGTAAGTTTTGATCCCTATAATTTTCGGATGACTAGAATTTCAGCTAGGAAATCCGAAGAGAATAAAAATTTTTAGGGGATAAAAATATGCCTATATCTACCGTTTAAATACTAAAATACGTTTAACAATGCTAGTTTAAGTGGTTTTGAACTATATTCTCGTTGGGTGCCCCTGAAATGTGCTCTTAAAAGTCGTTAACGTGCAGCGTAAAAATACCCCTGAACTAATGAATGATGGGATCTGGTGTGAACTGATAGTATGTGCCTTGCACCGGCACAGGTCTTTTGTCAATCCGCTGGGGATTGCACGTGGTCAATCGCACTCGAACTTCATGCTATATTAATTGGAAACATTGCTGATTGGTCTTTTCATAGCATGGGAAGTTCAGCCGTTTTCAAGTGTCAAAATACATTGAATACAGAGCATACGCTGGGTGCATATCACTGTATATATATTGTTTGATAACATGTAATATCAAATCTTTGCTCAATGTCCCGAAAATATCTTATATCTCCCGAAAAATTTCCCAGGTATCCCGATTCCTGGCAAAATCTCCAGATTCCCGGAATAAATTTGTTTTTCTCCCGAAACAGACCTTGTTAGAGCTGTCACCCCCCGTCGGTTGACGCTTTCGAACATGAACGGCATCTAGTTCTTCATACATAGTCCTCAGCGGTTCCAAACCAGATGGAGGCTCTTCGAGCTTCTCAAAGCACCTATATCTTCGAAACTTCATCTTTTTGATGATGACATCCAGATCGGATTTCGAAGAAGAATAACGCCTTTGGCTGAGACAGTGACCGTGATTACCAGAAAGTACCCNTGCATATCACTGTATATATATTGTTTGATAACATGTAATATCAAATCTTTGCTCAATGTCCCGAAAATATCTTATATCTCCCGAAAAATTTCCCAGGTATCCCGATTCCTGGCAAAATCTCCAGATTCCCGGAATAAATTTGTTTTTCTCCCGAAACAGACCTTGTTAGAGCTGTCACCCCCCGTCGGTTGACGCTTTCGAACATGAACGGCATCTAGTTCTTCATACATAGTCCTCAGCGGTTCCAAACCAGATGGAGGCTCTTCGAGCTTCTCAAAGCACCTATATCTTCGAAACTTCATCTTTTTGATGATGACATCCAGATCGGATTTCGAAGAAGAATAACGCCTTTGGCTGAGACAGTGACCGTGATTACCAGAAAGTACCCAATGGGGGAACCATTTGGCCACTCCGGCAACATTGACGAAGTGCTTCAGCATGCTCTGGTGAGGAAGAACGCTGAGTTCTTTTTCACAGCTCTGATAACTACTTCGGGCTTAATTGGAGCAACCTAATCTTTTAAATGGAAGAGAAAACAAAGAAAAAAGTCCTTGATCGCATGCATGCATGCAAGATGGCCGCCGAACTAGAACCAGTCTCCCACTGATAAGCAAGCTTTTCCTTCATGTACTGACTACTCCAATGTCTCCAGCGGAATCAATATTCGTAAGAAAGCGGTGTATGACATTTGCAGTCTGCAGACTGTAGACTGCAGACTGCAGACCGCAGACTGCAGACTGCAGACTATAGACTGCAAACCGCAGACTGCAGACTGCAGCAAGACTGTAAATTGAATGAAACCAAAAATATCGTAATAAAGGTGGTGTCATCATCAACATTACCTTGTTCCGAAAAGTAAGGCCTAGAAGCAAAGTTTATATTTTTCACGCAAATTACACCGACCTCATTTCTAAAGGAGCCGTTGGCTGTTCTTTTCGTGTTGAATTAGAGCAGAATAATGTCTGCCGATGTCACAAACTTGCTCATGAATCCATAGCAACAGTCTAGCAATTTAGCCTGCACCACAGACGAAACTAAACTAGAAGTCTGTCTGTGAAACAGCGCCGGAATCCCTATTCTACGGGGACCCCGACCTCTGTACTAGGACTTGAGTATGAGCAATGATTTACCTATTTAGAAATTCAAAATGCACTTCTGGTAATTCGTCGAGTCCATGCAGATAGGATCTGTTCGTTTTCGATTATTTGGCATATCCCTAAATACTGCTAAGATGAAATACGTCATTTAAAAGGTGTTAAATGTCCTTGATCTATCCTACGAAGCGGCTCGCAATCTAAAAACCTTTTCTTACAGAAGACTACTATTTAGACAGGCATTAGTGGGCATTGCTACTTGTCATTATCAATTCACGATAATCAAAGAAGAATAAAGAATCAACGCAATTAGTGATATGCCGGGTCGGTGAAGAATAGCGAACAGCATTTTGGGAATGAGGCCAATGTAACTTTGCACAAAAATATCAACCTTGTTCCCAAGGCTACTTTCTCACTTTCACACGATCATATGTTTTTGAAGACGTCACCTTTATTAGGAAGATTTTGGTGTCATTTAATTTACAATCTTCAATCTGTGGTCTGCAATCTGCAGTCTGCAGTCTGCAGTCTGAAGTCTGCCGTCTACAGTCTGCAGTCTGCAGTCTGCAGTCTGCAGTCTGCAAATGTCATACACCGGTAAGAAAGAGCCATTCCATCTATTTCCTACGTGAAATGATAAACGCCCACGGTATGTATTCACATTTTATTGGTTAGTTAAATAACGCTCGCGTTAAAACCCGCCAACACATCACCAAAAATTGTTATAGTAAACATTATGTTCATAAACCAGCTTGTCAGTTATCTTCTTCTCTTCCTCACGTTCTTGGTTCTTTATATTTTGGCTGATTAGGTCTCTTTTCTAAAGATCCAACGTTTACAACTAGCAGGATCTTCGTCCACGGTTTTTGCAGTTATTTTAATCCATTATTATTCAGTTATCTTTGCTGTCAAAGAGGACATCATAATATTTTCTGTCACTCTTATTTTTTCAGCATTCGGCTTGCGTCATGAGTCAACCGTTAGGACGCTTTTGAGCAGCCTGGGTACAGCCGCCCCCTCCTTTGAGAAAAAATCGGAGAAGGGTGGGGGAAGGGTGCGGCTGTTTTTTACACTCACAGTTTTTTGCTCAAGACAATAAGGCTGCGTGCAAACAGACGCAACATTGGTGTGCAACAACTCCCAGCATTGTTGGATGTTACATGTTGCGTCCGTTTGCACACCTTGTTGCATGTTGTTGCGCAAAGTTTGAAACGAACCGGTCAAACTTTTCAGCCAACAACTCCCAACATTTCTTTTGTTCCGTGATCGCCGAAGCGTAGCGCAACAATGTTGGATCCGTTTGCACAGCTCTTCCAACATCGTTGGGGCCACGCACGCTCATTACGCATGGTTTACAAAGACTTATGGGTTGTATCCTTCCTGCGATGCACTGCAGGTTCCAACATTGTTGGGAGTTGTTGCATCCGTTTGCACACCACTGCCAACACGCACGCAACAACTCCCAACATTGTTAGCGCAACAATGTTGAGAGTTGTTGCGTCTGTTTGCACGCAGCCTAAACGAGCAGGGATGAATTGCAGCATTTGCATGCCCCAAAACCTCGTCCTCAGGGTGCTTTTCCATGGCTTTGTAGGTGGGGCCACCTCCAAAGCCATGGAAAAGCGCCCTGGGGACGAGCTTGCATGCCCCAGCCAAAAGGAGAAAAACGGTAGGAATGGCGCCGTATGCATTGTGGCGAAATGTCCGCCATCATGTGACCTGAAGCCAAGAAACTGTAAACACGCTGACGATATCACCAGTATTTTGATCACTGAACGACATTTTTTTGCTTGTTTTGCATAAGCCTGTTGGTTAACCTGCAGGGGCGTACCCAGGAATTTTCGTTGGCGCGGGAAATACTGCTTAGCGAGCAGAGGCGAACAGATCATAGGAGGGAAACCAAGAACAATTATATTTTTGAATATCCCCGGAATTAAGTTTAGTGGCAAATGCAACGCGCGTTTCATTAAAAAATCAGCCAGCTAGAAAATGCTATACGATCCTGTAGATGTACGAATTCCAGTCTCAAACAAGCGTCAGGTCATATAGGGGGGATCCGCACCCCGGACCCTCCCCCTGCATCTGCCGATGATGTATCCGGGTGGCTTATATCTCCATCATGAAATGCAGGTGATCAACGAACATAGGACTGCTAAGGATTGCATAGGTAATAACAAGTTTAAAAACCACACGAGTATATCTTTTGCAGTTTTGGCATACTGTTTGCTGATTTTGAGACACAGAAAATTAGGGGGGGTTTTGACATCGAATTCCAATCATGAATTGTGTTTTAATAAAGCAGGCCTTACTATTCCGCAGGAGTTACGAACGCTTTTTCTTGATTGAGAAGAATCCACTGATGTTTAAGCCCGCGAATACAGCCATCTCTTCTCGCTTCTCGCACAAGCGTCCCTAGCGGAGTGGAGCGAGGAAAACTGGCTGTATTCGGAGCTTACTGATCTATATAATTATGTTGTCTCCCGTCACAGGGGCGGATCTAGGGGGAGCATGAACGGGGGGCGCACCCCGCTAAGACGACCTGCGGCTTTCTAATACAACCGGTATTCTGCAAAAAAACTGCGTGGTTTATTGTTGTTGAAGTAAAACATGAGATGAGGTTGAAGAATTTATGTTAAACGCCGTAAAAATGGTAGTTTGGCACCTCACGTCACCAGTCAGTTACGCCATTCCTTAGTGGTTTACTCCCTCACAAGAAAAATCCTGGATCCGCCCCTGCGTCACTCTCATTTTTTCTTTTACTAAAGGGCAAGCCAGCTAGCGAGCAAGCTCTTCTGATGATCGTTGGGTACCAAAGCTTGCTTGTCTCATTTGCTGGCATCCACGAATCAAACATTTATCTGTTCTCATGTGACATTTCGTGACCGTCCTCTGCCTCCTTGAGAAACCACGTCCGTTGCACCACGTTTAGTGATGTTCCATGCACGTGGTAACTATAGCACAGAGCACAATTTGTAATGTTAGCAGCAGCAGAAGCAATAAAGCAAGAAAATTGACATGCTTTCCTAATTAAGTTAGTATTTCACCATTTTTTACCCCTTCATTTTAGTGATATACATTACGTTGTTTGCTTATGGCACAGATCCCGTGGTGCACATCTGTTCAAAATCTTGTAGTATCTTAAATTATAAATCTTAAATCTTAAATCTTAGTATTTCACCATTTTTTACCCCCTCATTTTAGTGATATACTTTCAGTTTACATTGTTTGCTCATGGCACAGATCCCGTAGTGTACATCTGTTCAAAATCTCGTATCCAAACTGAGGCTGCTGATACCAGTCGAAGATACTGATGTGTGGAGAAATCTAGAAGCTCTCAACTCAAGTGAAGAATTTCCCAAAGTTTGCTGTGAAAAGGTTCTTAACGCTGGTAGTTGAAATCGATCCTGCTTCCTTGGCCTGTACTTAGTGAATCGCGGAAACATTAATTTTGTTTCTACCCTCAGTTTTTCGCTGAAGACAATAAACAACCAGGGATGAATTGCGGCATTTGCATGCGCCAGCCAAAAGAAGAACAACTTGAAAACACTGGGAATGTCTTGATAAGCATTGGTGTGAAACACTGACACCATGTGAACTACATGCACAGGAAGCCAACAAATCGTAAACACACTGACAGCTGTCACCAGCATTTTGATGACTGAACGACGTTTTTTTGCTTGTTTTGCATAAGCCTGTTGGTTAACATGTCCGGGTGGTTTATGTCTCCATAAAAAGCGGGCGATCAACGAATACAGGACTGTCATGATGGTCAAAGGGATTACATAGGTTATAACAAGTTTAAACATCAGTTCGGCTTTGAAAAGAGTGTGAGCTATTTCAGGGAAATCATGCCACTCTTCGATGCACTCAACAGTTCCATCTTCCATCTCCCTGGTTTTAAACGTGTACAGCTGGCCACTGAAAATCACACCGAAACATAACCACAAACCAAAGACTGAACGCACCACTGCTCTAGAAGACATGGGCCTCCGTCGGATGCACACAATAGCCAGAAATCTGTCCACGGCAATCACTGTCAGCGTCCAGATAGCAACACTAATAGAGATATTCAAGATGAATGGTATGAGCTTGCAAAGAAGGTTTCCCACTATTCCAGGTATCCATCGGTTTCCAGCTATGAAGAACGACATGGTAAAGCTGGAAGCCGTTAACACATCCAATACGTCAGCTACAGCCGTGTTGGCCAAAAGCCAGTTGAACGGGTTTTGGCGAATGTCCCTGCGAGTTCGCACAAGGTGAATGACAAGCGAATTGCCTGCCAATGAAAGCATGATAATGACGATATAAGCAGCAACGAAGATTATGTTGGTGACATTGTCTTCTTC